TGAACAACAATTGAAAGATCCATTGACTTTATTTTTCCTTCATAAATTAGTTTATGAACATTCAAGAATCAAATTATCTCAAATCAAATCAAATACAAGTTACATACAGTTTATTCAATATACACGTATCGATAACAAATCCTATAGTAATTGGGTTTCCTTCAAAGGAATGGGAATACTCTCTACTACAAGTATCGGTACCTTTATACAACATACAATATCATTTTCTACCTATAATATTATATAAAAGTATCAATATTTATTTTCTACCTAGAATATCACTTTCTAACTGTAATCGGTCCCAAATTCTTCTTTACTTCGAAAACCCCATACCCATAAACCTAATCCCTATTTTTGAATACTATAATACTAAAAAAACTAGGGTTTCCTTCAAAGGAATAGGAATACTCTCTACTACAAGTATCAATAGCTTTATACAACCTATAATATCATTTTCTACCTATAATATTACATAAAAGTATCGATATTTATTTTCTACCTAGAATATCACTTTCTAAATGTAATCCGTCTCAAATGCTTTTTTACTTTGAAAACCCTAAACTCATAAAACTATTCCCTATTTCCTATTATTGTAATACTAAAAAACTAGGGTTTCGACAACATACTTTTTGATTCGATTGTAGCAACAAACACACAACTAAGCTTTCAAAAATGCCTTGCTTCTATTTCGCAACAACTAATACGCTTTGATTTCAAAAACTACGATCGTCTTCTATCTATTTTAGAGAAATGTAGCTATGCCTTTGATATTTTAACTGGATATGTTATTTATATTTAATCGATATCAATACCCAAGTCTCGATACTTTTTTGTAAGGTATCGATACTTTCGATACATTTTCATTTCTTTTCAATTCCTAAAGAATCGATACTATGATACATATGCTTATAAAAGTATCGATACCTTCAACATATCCAGTAGCGCTTTACATGTTTTGTTATATTGAAACCGGTTTTATCAAATTTTAACATGTTATATTGTCATGTATCGATACATGTGTCTAAGGTATCGATACTTTATAGGCGCTATTATTGCAATTCTTTTAAATCCCTAAAGTAACGATACTTTGGTGCATATGCTTATAAAAGTATCGATACAAATTTTAACCATTCTGGTATCTCTTTACCGGTTTTGTTAAACTGAAACAGGTTTTGTCAAACTTCAACATGTTATATTGTCATGTATCGATACATGTGTGTCATGTATCGATACTTTCGAGACATTTTCCTTTTTTTCATTTCTTTTAAATTCTTACAATATTAATACTTTGGTACATATACTTATACATGTATCGATACAAATTTCAACAATTTCGGTAGCTCTTTACTGATTTTCTCAAATTTCAACCGGTTGTCAATTTCCAATCTGTTTTGTCAAATTGGTTACCTGTTTTGTCAAATTGAAACCGGATTTCTCAAATTTCAACCTTTTATATTATCATGTATTGATACATGTGTGTAAGGTATCGATACTTTATAGACGCTTTTATTGCAATTCTTTTGAATCACTAAAATATCGGTACTTCTATACCAGTGGCAGATGCACTAAGCCGCCATAGGGGTCAAGTGCATCCCATTATTTTGGAAAAGTGGTTAAATTTAGCTTAATGTGTTAAGGAAAAAAGAAAATGAATTACAACTTTGGCATACCCATTATTTTTAGGAAAAGAAAATTAAAATTTTGGACCCCCATTATTAAATTTCTGGATCCGCCACTGTTCTATACATACACTTATAAAGGTATTGATATATGTCTACTTTTATCCGGTTTTCATCACTTTCTTATATATTACTATATATATCAATACTTCTATGCACGGTATCGATACCTACCGATAACTAAGTTCGTTGGTTGCCAAACTTTTAATATTTCTTCATGTTTTCCACTTACAATATTATTATTACTCAATATTTTCGGTAACGCTAAATCAACTTTATTAAATATCTTATTACAATTCCGGTCACGCCATTTCTTAGTATATTAGTCCGCCCTTCTGACAATCCCCTTTAGCTGGCTTGATAGGCAGAAGAATTTTCTGAGTAATAAATTAGATCAAGATTTGGTTAACTCTAGTTGGTTGAACTCTTATCCTAATTCATACGTGGAATTTCAAGCTTCGGGAGTCTAACAATTGCACTGATGTTGTGTGGATTTTAAAAGAGGCTCTTGTAAGTAGATTAAAGTAGTCTAAGTTTTTTAACTTAGCGGTGAATCATCCAGACTTTTAGGATATAGTGTCAGAATCCTAGTATATGCCAATGCATGTTCTATTCCATAAATTGGAGAGGCTAAAGGAACCATCAGTGTTACGTCTGTAAAGTAACGGGAGTTAACGGATCAATGATCACAATAGACGGGCTAAAAATAAAAATAACTTCAATCAAACTTTTTCAAAATTGATTATCAAAATAAAATGGGCCGAAATATAAGCCACCACCAGTATTATTTACCAAAGAAATACTCAATACGTGACGGGATTCAAATTTCTGCTGTCAGCATTGGCCAAGTTCAGAAGCAGAACTGGTCAACCGCAGCATTCATTTCTTTAACTGGTCAGTGAATGCGCTACTTGATTTTCGTTCATCACAAAATTAAATAGACTGAATTGGAATTTTGTGAATAAAACATTTGCATTCCAAATAAGGGATTCGATGATTGACAAGTCAAGTTTTTTACTTTAACTTTGAAATCACAATAAATGAATGCTTCTTCCAAAGTAATCTTTTGGACATTAACTTTTTTGGATAAATTACATGTTTAGTATATAAATTATTAATTTTTTCATTTTGATACCTAAACTTTATGTTTCTTCAAAATCATACTTAACATTTAATTTAGGTTTTATTTTAGTACCATACTGTTAAAAATTTAACGAAACTGCATATTTTTAAGGATAAATTACATCATTCATCACTCAACTCTCTTCTCACTCATATTTTGGTCACTAAAGTTTAAAATTTTCAATTTAACTACTCAACCTTCAAATTTCTCATGTTTTAATCACTTTAATTATTTTATTAATAACTTTCGTGACATAACATTTATTATTATCATTATTTTATTAATATATTATGAAATTCATCACTCAACTATCTTCTCACTCATATTTTGGTCACTAAAGTTTAAAATTTACAATTTACTTACTCAACCTTCAAATTTCTCATGTTTTAATCACTTTAATTATTTCATTAATAATTTTTCGTGACATAACATTTATTATTATCATTATTTTATTAATATATAATGAAAATAAAATAATTAATTTTTTAAAGTTAGAGTATTTAAATAAGGATTAATTTGAAAGTTTTGTAATTAAATTTAAAAAAAACTTCAATGATCAAAATAGGAGTGAGAAAATAGTTGAGTGGTGAATGATATAGTTTACCTATAACAAATGCCACTTACAACAATTTCGTTAAGTTTTTAACACTGATGTACCAAAACGAAACAAAAAATAAATGTTAGATATAATTTTGAAAAAAGTAAATGTTTAGATATCAAAACAGAATAAAAGTAATAGTTTAGGTACTAAACATATAATTTACTTTAACTTTTCTATAAAGTCATAAGAGACAATAATAAACGAAGAGAATTAGTGGACAGTGGAAATTTTTCAATTATCATATATTTTTTATTGATAATATATTTTTGTTCCTTAAAATTTTATGAGTATATTCTAATTTTTTTTTAAAGATAATTTGTTTATAAACAAGTTTACATCGTTATTTCAATTTATATTCATATTCAAATAATCACCTCATAATTGAGAGACTAAATTGAAAAATATTAAACTTGTTATCAAAAAAAATAAACTAAAAATACATATGGATTTTGTGATAGTTTAGGAGTACGTGATTTAAATTTGGTTAAAAATAAACTTAAAATGAATGATGAATTGAAGAAATAATGAAATTAGGGACTAAATCATAAAATTATCAAAATAAATAGACAAATTTTTGGTTTTTCAATTAACTCGAAATTTCCAAATTTCAACTCGATTCAAACTCGAAAACCAATTTGATAATTTGAGTTAACTCAAATAACTCGTAAAATTCGTTTAATGTTGGTGAGCATATTCGTTTATATATCCGCTAACATATTCGTTAGCTAATTTGTACTCTTTCATTAAAATGATGAAATTATACCACTAATCCTTGAGCTCAAAAAGTTTCACATTTTAATCTCCAAAGTTCACATTGCATTCAATTTAGTCCCTACCTTAACAAATATTTAAAATATAAAAATAAAAAGAAAAGAAAAACCGGATAAATGAGCTTATAAATGAGTCGAGAAAAAAAATTATAAACGATCTTCTTCGTGAACATAAACAAACCAAACATACCTACGTTCAAGTTCATTATGGACATAAAAAATGTGTTATATACTCATTTGTATAGCACAATAAATCATATGAACAGTTCATAAACAATTTACCAAACTACATGTGAATATACACAAATTAACACCCCAGAGGAGGACAATTCATCATAATACTTTACTTCCAAATGACAGTAAATATTTGAAGGATCTTTGAATCCGAATATTGATAACCAACAATGAACACAAAATATATGATCAACCACAACCAGTGAAAACAGAATCAGCCATGACATTTAAAAGAGAAAAACAGCACCAAATAAGCCATTAAAAAACACGTAATTTGCTGTTATCAGGCGGGCGGGCGGGCATCCTCATTATCTCCTGAAAGTAACCGAGTCATGAGTGTATTGGCTTTATTCACATGATAGAAACTCAATCATACTTTAACTTCCAAAAACTAAAAACGTACCCTTCGCACCACTGTATGTGAAGCATGTCAATATCAGGGATCTTGAATTCAAAACGCTTCTCAACTCAAAACGCTGAAATCTACTCTTAAACTGCCACATCTGTGTAAAGCTCATAGTTACGCCTTGTAAGTTTAGCTTTTTCTCCTGCCACTTTCCTATAAACCAACTGTTACTAGAGACGGTCGCAGCTCAAGTGTTTGCCAAAGGTTTGGCGTCTTGGAGGGAGATGAAAGTTTCAAACGCACCAACCAAGGCCTTAACCTTACTTTTTCTGGTTTCAACCAGTTTACTAGCAGTTTCCTCGATGGCGGTGTTAAACAAACCCTTTTCGTCTTTCTTCCCCTGCTGCAAATCTTGGTGTCTCAAAACAACTTTTTCCCCACCAGGTTGGTTTTCATCGACTGAACCATCAAGTTCTCTCGTCTTAAAGGTTCTCCGCTCGCCCTTAACATTTTGGCCCCAAGTAGTCTTCCTCTCCTGAACTTGAGCTTCCTTGCACTATTGTTCTCGGATTGAATGTCGACAACCTTCCCTCTCCTAAAAGATAGTTTCACAGGCCGGCAATCCTTTTCATCGGAGAATTCCGTCCTAGAATTTCTGGGCCTTCCTCCATTTTCTCCCTCCAAAATTTCCACTTCTTCCACATTTACAGTTTCATCTTCAGCATTCTCATCATCTTCATAATATTCAGAGTTGGAGCTATCGTCTGTATACTCATTTTCATCTCCTCCTACATGTGATGATAAAGGTGGAGACATTGGGAGAGTTGATGACTTGGGAGATGAAGCAATGGGCGAGGACAATTCGGCAGCATAATTTTCATTTTTATCAGATTCCAACAATATATTTTGTCTCCATCTTGATAACATACAAGGTTTTCTCTTCAAGTGCGTCGTTATTGCGTACATCATGTTCATCAAGAGGTTGCTCAGTTTCAGCCTTTTCAACATTGTTCTGATTCTTCTGTGGACGCACCACTTTTAGGTTCTGGTTCTTTCTTGCAGTTAGGCTTGAGGGCCGAGGCGATGACAATGCTTTCTTCACATCAACTTTGGCACAACTGGTCCTTTTTCCCATCTTCATATCACTAATTCCATCGCCCCTTTTAACACTTAAACCTTCTAACGGGACAGAACCTGAAGGAAGCTTTTCTGCATGAGATTTCAGTTTCGAAGAAGTATTAAGTGATTTAGAAAAGCCTTTCTCTTTAGCTTTCAATGAGACTTCATTTGAAGGGACTCCTAGTTTCTTAGAAGATGACCATCCACCCTTCTGCATGACTTTCGGGGCATCGAATAAGTGGAATTTCAAATTGGGTAAAGATCCAATCTTTGCCGTTGATGTCTTTTTTTTCCTTTGACGGTATTTCATGTTTCCTAGAAGTTCGCCTGTCCGATGTAGTTGTCGACACTTCAAACTTGAGGACATTGGAGGTGTCATGGGGACTACTGGAATTGAGTGAATGTTTGGGCTTAAGCTTTGCTGCTGATGTCTTCTCTTTATCTGACAGAACACCATGAGTTGTAGAATCCTTTCTATCAAGAGAGTAGGGTGATAGCTGAAACACAACCGCCCCAGACGTATCGGGGGTACGAGATTGGGAATTGGGGAAATATTTGGATTCAGTTACGGTTATCTTCATTCTCTGCTGTAAGTCTAAGCTCCGAACTAAATTCGACTCACTTGATGGCTTTTTCATATTCCTCTTCCGGAAGGGAAGTTTAGCATTCTCTTCAGGTTCATGTTTCTTTCCATATTTGCAGAAATCATGACATGAACCGGTAGAAGCTCTCAGATAACGAGAAAGTGTTTTCTCTCTGCTTCTCGTCAAGGATCTTCTCGAACTGCCCCCATCTGACCCAGAAATATCTAGTCTCACTGGTGAACTGATATTCTCCCCAGCCATCGAATATGTAGAAGTGAAATTTACGAAACCAGATAGTCCTGGAAACCAACCGACACTATATTAGTTGATGGTAAACTAGATAAATGCATAAAGAGGACTGCTAGATGAATGAAGCATAGAAAAGAATCAATCTAGCTCTGTTCTGCTATTATACCGAATATTATTTAGCTCGAGTGATTAACAAAATTAGTCTGCCAGGAGAACAAGACAGAAAGAATAAAGACCATTAGGAGCTAGTAGCTATGATCGATTTAATCTCGAAGTTAACAATGGGAGACAACAGCAACAGATTCGAAGACTGTTTTACAACAATCAGCATGAACTAGAAAGCATATAACAACGACATAAAAGAAGATAAATGCATTCTATTATTGTTCAATATACAAGCAAAATGGAAAGTTTCTGGAAAAACCAAAGCATGAATACACAGAACCACAAGGTTTACTGTTCAATCGAACAGTTGATAACTATATGAACCATACAAAATAAAAATCTATTTTTTTATTTTTATTTATAAAAAACAGGATCACGATTTTTTTTTTCTTTGGGGGGGTTTAAATTGCAAGTTAGGCAAAGCAATAAAAGAAGGTGTCGAAGAATTTTCTAATCTACCAATCTTAGAAATTGATAAATTATCAATCAATGAAGACTCTGCCTCACCTAAAATTCATACCAAAAAGAAACACAAAATCAAAGCTAAATCTCCACTAAGATCATAAACAAAAAAAATTAACGAGCTTGACGATAAAACTAATTTTACCAGAAAAGAAAATTCCGTCTTCGAAGATTAAATCAAATAAGAAATAAATAAATAAATAAATAAACAAACTGCAATTGGCAGCGCAAGGGCATCGTGATAAAACCCTAGACATATCAATTGTTCCACATATGGGCTTTGTCTGGACCACTTCAAGCGGGTTGCTGATTAGATTTTTGAATTCGAGCTTTGTTGAACTTTAGGCCTGCTTTTGGATTTGCTGTGTAATGCACTTGGACCTGTTAAATAAATAAATATATAAATACTAGTGTTTTACTTTATATCATTAATATATTTATACAAGAGTTATATATATTTACCCACCGAGGCCAATACGTATATACTTTTATCATTGTTATTTAATTAAAACCTTTTCTTAAAGAAAACGAACCTCATTAAACATCCCTTCTAAGACCTATAAAGGAAAAAAGAGTGCCCTAATATCTTCTATTACCATAATAAAAATCATTGGATACAAAAGACACAATAATATTATAATAAATCAAGTCAAAGTACAAGTTATTTCCGTAACAGAGAGCCCACTTACTCAAAGTATGACATAGTATTACAAACTATAGGAACAAAACACATTTTGTAATTTAAATTAGAATCCAAAATCTTACGAGCTTCCTGAAGATGATAACCCAAAGTGAACAAGTCCTCCTCTGATCGAAACATCTTGTTGACTACAAGACATATTTAACATGATTATGAATAACTCAATATATATTCAATAATTAAAAGTAATTCTTAGACTTATACCTAATTTAATTTAATAAAGACAAATAACCAAAAATTGTTAAATAATATCTAAAGCCAATCATTATACATATTAAACAAAAGAAATTATAGGAACAATGCCCCTTAACTAATGGAAATAAATAAAATGACGAAAGATAAATAAATAAAATTAGAATTAAGATTGAGACTCGAACAAAATATGGTGTATACATGTTGTTTGATCATAATGTTGCCTTACTTCATAGACAACAAATCACTCTCCTAAAGTTTAAGCTTCATATCGTTCTTCTTAAAGAACAACTTGGTGAATGATTCTCAAGCTTCATTTGGGGTTTTAACACCATGAATGTGTTCTAACATATCTTTCTCCACTATTGGCTTTAATGCGAACATTGTTTTGCATGTTTTTATCTTCCATTTTTTTAGTATGCGATTTGCATCATTTGCTTTTAATTGCTCCACTTCATTTCCATTAACAATCTTCCATAGGTCTTGTCCTTGCATATATGACATCATGCAAGTTGACCATTTATTGTAGTTGTCATTGTTAAGTTTTCTCATTCCTCTGACGACATGTAAGTCAATCATATTGTGGATAAAGTATTCTCACAAAACTAAATGAAATAGTGAAATTAGTTTATAAATAATACACCAAGTAAGTTCTCAAGAAAAACAGGTGGATCACACATATTACTTAAATACCAAGTTTTTCCCAATACTTTACTAGATGCATCGTCACACTACCACATTACTTTAGCAATAATAGAACAACACAAATAACCTTCACCAAGGCTCTTGATAATAATTATTGAACACACTGCAGCTAAGAAAGGCTCAAAACAATAAAATGAAGAAACAAGAATCAAAAGGAAGAGAACACTTGATTTTATTTGGTGTGATTTAGAAAGCTAACACAAAACTTTCTTATATAGACACTTAAAATATATAACCTTCAAAGCAATTAATGTAACCCCCTAGACCCGGCCTGGATGTTATACCCAAATCTAGGCGGTTACATATCGTATTTAGAAATTATTTTTATATTTAAAACAACGTTAAAATCCATATAACAATATAATATGAAATTAGTCATAAGAAAGGTTCATACGATAAACACACACACACACACATATCAGAAAACCGTATAAAACATTCACATAACAAAATATTGGTAATACAGATATATCGAGATGATAGAAAAAACACGTGGCACCAAAGTACAACAAAAAGGCATATATAGATATATAGTGGTACAAAAATAGAAGTAGTTGGTCCTCCTAATGCCAAGTCTGCTAGTCTACAGTCTGCTACTATCTGAAAAGGTTAAAATTTACATAATGAACTAAAAAGCATAGTGTGGTCCTTACAATGTATAAAAACATACTTATAAATTACTTTAGTAAAAATCAGCTTATCAAACATGTTTTAAACATATGACCACTACCCTCATCCAATCACAAGAATGTGTAGGTTCCCCAGAACCATACACCCACATGTACACCCGGTAAGAACCTTATACATATAATATAAGGACCTACGGTAAGGACTTACCCTAACCACAAAGCAGAGGAGCATGCGATAAGGTCTTACAAGTCATAGACTAGGCAAGATATACTTCCCCCAATAATACTCCCAATGATAGTAATAAACATGTATGTATTCAATGAAAACAATAGTTTAATCCATAAAACATGAAAATATTTCATACTCATAAATCAGATACAAAAATACAATAACCAGAGATCGTTTCAGAAATATACGGTAAATCATATATCACATAACCGATATTCAAAAAATCAGGTATCGTATCGTAAAAATATTCAGTATCATCAAAAATCTAAAACAGTTCAGATAAATAGTTTAAAACAGTAATGCAACACCATCAGGAAACACACATATATTGGTTTGAGTAGTCTGATAGGAAAGCCTACTACTGAGTCTGCCAATCACGATCAGCAATAGCGCTAGATCCTACGAATCGGAAAATCTATATTGAAATCCTAATATGAATAATAATAACCTCTATTTAAATAATTTACATAAACATACGAGTAACTCTTGAAGAATGCAGATCAGGCAGATCTAATAGATGAGAAGCATTGAATCTAATCGACCCTCAGTCGGGAGAAACACGAACACCTTCATAAAAATGTTTTCTCGAATCAATTCCATAACCAAATTTTGAATAAATAAGCAAAATTGTTAAAATACTAAGTATTTTCAGATTAACGGGTTCAATTAGGGCTTTCGGGTCAGAATTTGGTAAAATATATCATAAAATCAAACTCAGAACGTCGAAAAAAGTCAAGATGAAGGTTTTCAAAAAAAAAGTCAATGGTTAACGGTTAATGGTCGGTCAACGGTTGACCGGTTAGGATCAGGTTGGAGCGGGTCAGGTCGGATCGGATCGAACAGGCAGGTCGGGTCAAACAGACGAGTCAGATCAGGTCGATCCACTTTCTAGAGACCCATCAGGTGGTGGGACTTCCGTACGTGCAGTGGCGGCGCGTAGGGGCACGTACGGGGCCTTCGGTGATTAGAAAATTTACGAAATAATTCCTAAAAATTATTTTCAAGCATTTTAAGGTACTTATCATCCTCGGATCACAACGGTGAACGGCAGAGAGCTCAATTCGATAATGTTAGAAATTTTCTTTCACTTACCCCTCCACACGCTAGCGATGACAACAACAAGGCGATAACTGTTGAACTCAGAATGATGTAAAGAACACCATGGTATAGGCGGTGTCGATCACGGAGCAACGGTTGGAAGTCAAACTATGATCAAAGTTTCTTGGCTAAAAAGGGAATGTTTGAAGAGAGAGAAAATGAGTTTTAAAAAATGGAAACTATTAAATTTTGGGGCTTTAAACCCAACCAAAAAAGAAAATGGGTAAATTACATTATAGGTCCTCAAGCTTTGGTTACTTTTTGATTTGGGTATAAATTTAATTGAAATTTCATTTAGTCACTAAATTTAATTAAAATTTCAATTTAATCATCAGAAAATTTTTAAAAAACAAATTAGGCCCTAATTTGGGGTGTGAAAACTCTCCCCCTTAGAAGATATTTCGTCCTTGAAATTTACTTAATGGAAATAGATGCGAAAACTGAGCCTCCATCAACCTAACTCTATGGAATGAGCTACGGGATTATAAAATGTCATCGAACTCTCAGTATTCTCAATCGAGATATTAAGGTTCCGAGAAATGGAATGTAACATATAGGAATGGGTAGATCCATTATCAAACAAGGCAAAGTATGGAACTAAATGAATAGTAACATTACGTACAATCACATCAGGCTTATCGCGGTCATGTCAACGTCTAGCAACAAAAACCAACTCAGGTTGTCTGTCCTCAGATCTGGTTGGACCCCTACTTTGAGAAGCTCAGCCTCTACTAGCCGATTCTGATGCTCTCTCCTGACTACGACCCCTTTCTGGAGTCTAAAATGTACTCTGAGTACGAGCGAGAGTACTAGTTGGTGTCTGAACTATAGGACCTGGCTCTGGACAACCCCTCAGGAAATGGTCACCGGAACAACATCTAAAACAAGTACCCAACTTCTTTATGCATTCACCAAAATGATGTCTCCCACAGAGTTCACATGACGACAAAGGTTGCAACCCAAAAAAACCTCCCTGACTAGAAGGCGTTACAACTGACGAATATGATGCCTCAGGCCTAACACTCACACTGCCTCTCTGAGGAGACTCACCCCTACCTCTCTTGTTGGGGTGTGCAGAAGAGTTAACAGAACCAGAAAGCCTCCTGAATCGGTCTCGGTCTCGGTCTATATCTCTCCTACGCTCCATACCCACTTGCTCTATCTCTTCTACGGTCTTGGCTATCTCAACCAAGGCATCAAAGTTCCTCTCCCGGTGGACAACAATTCGACCCCTGATCTCATACCTGAGTCCATTCTCGAATCTCAAGCACCAATCCAACTCAGTGTCAACCAGTCCAGTAGCGACTAAATCTGATAAACCCAATCTCATAATCCATAACATACATATCACCCTGCTCCAAATTCTGAAACTCTTAGCGTCGCTCCTACATGTATCTTTCTCTGATGTAGTGACTCCGAAAACATGCCTTAAAAAGATCCCAAGTCAACTAATTCCCTAGAATACTATCGGAAATTGATTGCCACAATTGAAAACTCTCTTTCTTCAACATAACTAATCCCCCTTCAACTTTTGCTCAGGCCTCATCTAATCCATAATGCTCTCTGTATCCTCCAACCAATACTCATCGTCAGTCAGAGGTCCACCAGTAATGCCCTCAAATGGAACTACTCCAGCAGCTACAAAAGACTTCGAAATCTCGACCGCATACATATTACCAAGGACTCTAGTAGTTCTTCGGAACATGCGAAAGAAAACTCTATTAATGGCATCCTCATCCAAATCAATGTCCTCGTCCTTAGTGACGGGAGGGTCTCTTGCAGGAGTAACCAGACCATCATGAGAATTAGAATGATCCACATGCGGAATAGGAGGTTCTCGATGTGACATCGGATCATCTATCATAACAGAAGGTCGACTCACTCACCCTCGACTAGCATCTTGATTATATTTAAAACTCATAAAATATGGTGATACGATTTTTGAAAATATCTAAAATATCTTGAAAATCCAAAGTTTAGGACTCATCCATAGTCTAAGTGTTTAAAACCAATGGTTCTGATACCACAAAGTGTAACCCCCTAAACCCGACCTGAACATTATGCCCAAATCTAGGCGGTTACATATTATATTCATAAATTTTTTTCATATTTAAAACTACGTTAAAATTCATATAACAATATAATATGAATTTAGTCATAAAAAAGGTTCATACGATATATATATATATATATATATATATATAGAAAACTGTATAAAACATATACATAACAAAATACCTGTAATACAAATATATAGAGATGGTAGCAAAAACACGTGGCACCAAAGTATAACAAAAGGGCATTTAAAGATATACAATGGCACAAAAATAGAAGTAGTCGGTCCTATTGATGTCAAGTCTTCTAGTCTACAGTCTGCCACTGTCTGAAAATGTTAAAATTTATAGAATGAGCTAAAAAGCTCAATGTTCTCTTTACGATGTATAAAAACATACTGATAAAATACTTCAGTAAAAATCAACTTATCAAACATGTTTTAAAAATATGACCATTACCCCCATCCGATCACCAAAATGTATAGGTTCCCCAGAACCATACACCCATATGTACACACAGTAAGGGCCTTATACATATAGCATAAGTACCTACGGTAAGAACTTACCCTAAGCAGATGAGCTTGCTGTAAGGTCTTACAAGTCATAGACTAGGCCTGATATACTTCCTCCAATAATACTCTCTAATGACAGTAATAAACATGTATGTATTCAAGTGAAAACGGTAGCTTAATCCAGTAAAACATGAAAATATTCCATACTCAGAAATGTGATATAGAAATACAATAACCAGATATTATTTAAGAAATATATTGTAAATCAAATATCAGATAACTAGTATTCAAAAAATCAGGTGTCGTCTTGTAAAAATATTTAGTATCATCAGAAATCTAAAACATTTCAGATAAATAGTTTAAAACAGTAATGTAACACCATCAGGAAACACACTTGTATCGGTCTGAGTAGTGTGATAGGAAAACCTACTACTGAGTCTTCCGATCACAATCAGCGGTAGCCCTAGATCCTACGAATCGGAAAATCCATATCGAAATCCTAATATGAATAATAATAACCTTTATTTAAACAATTTACAAAAACATACGAGTAACTCTCGAAGAACGTGGATAGGGCAGATCTAACAGACGAGAATCACTGGATCTAATCAACTCTCGATCGGGATAAACACGAGCAACTTCATAAAAATATTTTCTCAAATCAATTCCATAACCAACTCTCAAATAAATAAGCAAAAATGCTAAAAAATACTAAGCATTTTTTGATTAACTGGCTCAATTCAGGGCTTTCGGGACAGGATCTGGCAAAATGGATCACAAAATCATACCCAAGACGTCAAAAAAATGTCAAGATGTAGGTTTTCAAAAAAAGTCAACATCGGTCAACGGTTGACCAGTTCAGATCGGGTTGGATCGGATCGGGTCGGGTCGGATTGGACATGGGGGTCGGATCGGATTGACCCACTCTCTAGAAACCCACTAGGTGGTGGGACTTCCCCACGCGCTGTGGCGGCGCGTGGGGGGCCTTCAGGGGTCGTAAAATTTACGGAAAAACCTAAAAATTATTTTTCAAGCATTTTAAGGTACTTACCAGCCTCAGTTCACAACGATGAACGGCGTATAGCTCGATTCAATAACGTCGAGAATTTGATTTCACTCATCCCTCCACAAACTGGCGATGACGACAACAAGGCGACCACAGTTGAACTTAGGACAAATGTAAGGAACACCATGGTATGGACGGTGTCGATCATGGAGCAATGGTCGGAAATCAAACGACGATCAAAGTGTATTGGCTAAAAGAGAGAAAATGAGTTTCCGAAATTGGAGACTGTTAAATTTTGGGTTTTAAAATCTAAAAATAATATCAATTCTCTAGAATCTCTAATTTCAAACCATTAAAATTTATCTCCGACTTCAGTGGGTGTCGATCATTCTCTTTTGCTTTGGACGCTCCTTGCGACCATGATTCTCTCATTTCTGAATTCTCATTGGTAACTCCTCCAGAATACATAAGCTGAGGAAGCTATAACAGTGTTATGTTATGATTTTATCATTGTTTGAATGTTGATAAACTCATGTCTTTTTCTGTTGGAAATTCATCGCCGGCGGCTATAAGTGGGAAGGGGCGATTAGAGGAGAGAATGATTGGGGAGCAGAGATTTGGGTATTAAAAGTTTTAAGAATATAGGGAGTTAAAATTAAAAATTTAGGGGACTGAAGAGGGTGGAAGACAACATATAGGGGGTCATTCTACGACAGTGGCAATAATCGACGGATTTGAAATTAGAGATTTTAAAGGTGGGAATTTTGTTTGAGATATTAAAGAAATTTTAACATTTTAAATGAAAAAAAAATAATTTGTTTTCTTAAAAATATAAAATTTAAAAAAATTATAATTAAATTTAGTTATATTAAATAATTAGTTTTTATACTCGTATGATGCATTTTGACTTTTGATTTTGAGTAGGTTGCCTAACCATTTCCTCTTCATTAACTAATTTCTTTTGTTTTTAGTTATCAAGTATCTCAATATTTAAGGACTCACATTTTTAGAGACCAAATAGATCTAAATTTACCATTTTAAAAAGCATAAAATAGTATCTCATTCTCTACCAATATCATCAAGACGTACTGATATAGGTTTAAATTTGTTTTGAATATCTATTTCCTTGTCCGACAAGTGTAACAAAGATAACTGCACTTCATTCTATCTTTTTATGGAACAGCTTCATCTAGTAAATTGCTAATTTTTGTCTGTCAAAGACACAATTAGCTATGTTAACATCTTTATGCAATGTGTTCCCTATTAATAAAAATAGGGTTTACAAAATGAAAACCCTAACATGGACTAACATAAATAATAAATAGTAACTGAATAAATAACATAACAATGATCAATTAATGTGTTGTGATAAAATTCACAACTTTTGAAGTAAATTCTCTGGTACTGATGGAATTCTGGAATTAGATGTTACCTTCCAAGGCCAACGTAACGCACACGAAGTGAAAAAGAAAATTCACTTGCTATTTTTTTCAAAGACAATAAGAAAAGAGAAATTGTACGGAAAAAGCATAGCTTTGGTGGGTAAACAATGAGTTGTAACTTGATATTTTTAAGGATAAAGTAGGAGAAAATTAGAGAATAAGGGAGACAGTTTTCATAATTTTTTTAGTAACCTCCCAAATAAAAATAAAATCTTATTTAAAATATTATAAAAAATATCTTTTATTTTATTTGAATCATCCAACATTCCCTGCATGTAATTTTCATCTTACTCAGGCAGAAGCTAGTACTCTGATCTGATTACACCAGTGCTTGCTACATTCTCAAACCCTGCAAAAATCATGTCAAATTGAGAGAGAAAATTGAAATATTTCAATTAAAGAGATGAAAAAAGACTTACTGTATATATTCTATATTGATTTTCCTTCCACGTGGATGAGAAACAGCTGCAAAAGCATCCCTGGAGAGAACAATGGTAGAGGGACAGGGTGAGAAGGGGCAGAGATCCACCACTTTGACATCAATGGTTCTTTGTTTGCATGGTCTGTTGGGTCCACTGATGCATCTTAACCTGTAACGCCTCCCACAAGCAGCACCATTGTCCCACAATCCCTCGCTAACCGCAGCAAACATGTTCCCTGGAGGAAACTGTTCTTCGCTATTACCGCCACATTTCGTAGCTGCAAACGTATGATTTTATGTCAAGGGGATTAACTTATATCATTTAAGGAGAGATCAAAAATAAATTACTAATAAAAATATAGAGAAAATATCTAAAATATATAAGAAACGGAAAGAGAAGATACTTACGAATATATGGAGGGTTATAAAACGACGCGGTGCCAATATCGGCGTGGACCAATAAAGCTTCTTTGCTTATGAGTGCTGCTGCTATCAGCATTGCCAAGACCAAGAGTGACATTGTGTGAAGGAAAAGGATAACATAAACAAGATGTGGTTTTGCTGGTTTCTTATGTAGGAAAAACTGATGTCCTGATTAAGCGTTATGGACATGGTTCATTAATGTTCACACTGATATTTTTTTTATTTGATGTTATCGAGAAATCTTCGGTTAAGCATTCAAGAGACGCTTCATAAGACGTTAATGTTCATACTGTTTTAACTTTTAATATGATAAGGTCAACCGTTAAAGTTGGTTTCACAGTCCGTGATTATCGTCACTAAATCAATCACTGACGTTTGACCAGCGGCTAACTCTTTTTATCACATTCATGTAATCCACTATATCCTCTAAAAGGGATGCTTGCGGCTATAAAAGTCTCATTTTATTATTTTAAAAATTATTATAATATTTTTATTAGTTTGAGATAATTTTAAGGTATTATTTGTTCAAAAGATTTTTAATTATTTGACAATGAACACTCAAATATTCCTACGGACAACATACTCGGACTCAAGACATTTAAAAATATCAATCATTTAAAAAATTATTATAATAAAATTATTTTTATAACTATATTAAAATAAAAATACAAAATAGTAATTTTGTGTGGGAGCTGATTTAGTTTAAATTACCAATTATCTTGCGTAAGGTACGGTTTGGGATATGTTTAGGTTGTTCTCAGAGTAAATAATTTTGGAAAAATAATAGTTTAGTTGAATAATGTTGATAAAATTTATAATAAGTCATATCGCTTGGTAAATAGATTTATTAATAATAAGTCATACTATTTATGAATAAATTTATTTTTTGATTTAAAGTTGCATTTATTCAATTATGCCTAATAGTTTTTCAATAAATTTCTTAATTAAATGATCTTAGCTCTTTATCAAAAGGTCTTAACCTTTTAATTCATTTCTTCTCCACTACATATAGGCTAGTTGAGGCACAAATCCTAGAGACAAGTTAGAATTTTGAAATAGAAAAACACTTTGAAAATTTCTGTAAAATTTATTCTTTCTGGTGATAGAGAAAAGTAAAATGGTGTTCGATTGATCACTACTATTGCGTTTACTGTTGTGATCGTCTGTTGTTATTTTTGGGAGACCAACGTCCGACGTTACTCAAAGCACTGAGGAGAGGAAGAATATCTCTTAAGGAAAATGTTCATACATTCCTCAACAAAAGTCTTTTTATATTTTTTCTTACTCTACTCATCTAATTATATGTCTACATATGAGTAAACAATTTTATTTCTCTATTTTAATTGTTTATTTTGATTCATTCAATTTAACAATAATAATCGCTTAATTTTATTATTATTTTATTATTCTATTTCTTGGATTAACATTTTGAGTAAATCATTGTCAAGTTAATTTTGAGCAAGCACATTAAGCCGATTGATCAAGCTGCTAATCTTTATTCTCTCATATTTTCGTTAGTTCATAAGTTCTAGACCTATTAAGAACACTATCATTCCTTCTGATAGAGTCCCATTCCCCTCTCCTCTTGGTGGAATTTAACTTAGATTTAGAATTTGTTAATTTTGATAGGTCATTCATTAACTAACACAGTAAAACTTCTGTAAATTAATAATGTCGAGATCATGTAATTTTATTAATTTAAAGAAGTATTAACTAATTGTTAAATTAATAATTTATTAATTTAAAAATATTTTTTACAATTCAACGAACTTACATTATTTTTCATGAACTTGATACGATGATTAATTGCCTTGGTACCACAACAAAATAGATGTCAATCGCCTATTAGATTACTCATGTGAAAATGATACATGTTTAGAGGTTCAAATTTTGAAAAAAATTATAGCTAGCGTTATTGAAAATCCTATTAAGGAAGAAGTGGAAGATAAAATACTTTTGCAACCAATTACATGAAAGAAAACACTCATAATGACAATAACTCTTCACAATTTTTTATCACAATATAAGAATGCAACACTAGAACTTTTGGATGCAGTAGTAAAGTAAGGTAATGAAATACAGTTAAATTTAAAATTTATTTTGAACAAATGAAAAGTCATCATTTTATTAAAAGAACACAGCTGTGAAAGACTTCAGCAGTTGTACACGAGGAAACAAACAAAATAGGAAAAGAAATGAAAACAACAAAACAAATAAAATGAAACCCATCAAAATAAAAAATGAAAAAACCCAACCAACTATTCAGATCTCTTCAACTAATTAACCAGTATTTAAATGATGAGCAACACCACAAAGACCTTCAGAAAACCAACGAACCTCTCAGTGCATGTCCATAGAATACCCAAATTCCTACGGAGGATCAAACCACATTTTGTCTTCAACCGTTTGGAGGAGAACCAGAGCCCGAAGTCTTCAATCTAGAACCGATCAACATCATCGAGGGAGATCTGTGAAACGAGGAGATGAGCAGACTGATTACCCATTCTCTTAATAAAACGAAATTCATATGCCTCTATAGCTTGAGCACGATTTTTTGTTTCCCAGGTAAGAGTACTTATCTTCGATCGGTCAAGAATTCTACAGCGTGAATCACCGCGTGAGCCTCCGCCGCAAAAGCAAAGGTAACACCCACAACCCTTCTTCTATAAGCCCCCATTATCAAACGCTCATTGTTTCTAACGATAACCATTTACCAAACTTCCTTTCTTGCATGGAGAAATCTGGAATTGAAGTTCTCCTTTACAAACGATATAGCAGGAGGAGACCATCAAACAGGAGCTACTGATCTAGTTTTAACACCTATGGAATTAGTTGGTTGTCGAGAACTCCAAGCAGTGGGCTCGAACAAAGATTATTATTTCCTTCGACAGTGCTCTTACCTCCACGCACCAATTTATTTCTTGCGAACTAAAACATGGAATCTCACCATGCTTAGACGCATTGTATTTCACTAAGAAAATCTGTACATTTACGGCGTTTTTTGACCTATAGCGACGTTTTTTTGCGGCGCTACAAAAAACGCCGCAATAAGTACAGGAAAAGTAGCATTGCTAAAATTAGTAGCGTTTGGAAACAAAAAAAAACCACCGGTGAAGAGATATAGCGACGTTTCTTGCATAAACACCGCAATAGGCGTTGACAAACGCCGCAAAAAGTTTAGATAGTTAACGGCGTTTTTTTTATACAAACGCCGCAAAATGTCTACATCTATAGCGGTGTTTTATAAACTCCGCAAATGGTTAAGATATTTAGCGACGCTTTTCGGATAAACGCGCAAAAAGTCTGTTATATAGCGACGTTTTAAGGATATAAATGTCGCAAAAGGTGTGATATATAGCGGCGTTTTTCATACAAACGCCGCAAAAGATTTGGTATATATCAGCGTTTTTCGAATACAAAATCTGCAAAAGGTCTGGTATATAGCGTCGTTTTTTTGTAACAAGCGTCAGTATTGTTTTTGATATTTAGCGGCGTTTTTTATAAACGCCACTAAAGAACACAAAATTTAAACAATTTAAATATTTTCTTTGATTACCCCAAATCTGTTTTTTTCAACATGTTCCATTATCCAACAAACATGACATAAATAACACCAAACTCTATATCCATAACAACCAACATCAAATCCAATATAATAAATAAAAGTTTTCATTAACGTAATATCAATTCAGTTAAACACTATTCAGTAACATTAACAAAACATATAACATAAATGAGACTAAGATGGTGGATTGTGAGGTTGCGTTTTCTGTAACATCTGCATCATAACATCGAGTCGTTTTTCAAATTCTTGACATTTCTGTTGATACGCTACTTATCTCTGTGTTGCTGTTGTTTCTCTCTGTGCTTCCGTTGCTGCTCTCTCTGCTTCCCTCACTTCATTTTCGGCTTTCATGTTAGCCATTTGTTGATCCATTTCAGCCAACTTTTGTTTTAAACGGCTAACTTTTAATTGGGAAGACTGAGACTGTGATGACATGTACTGAGATGAATTGGATCCAAAATATTTGGTGGGAGTAACGAATGATCCTTGAAAGCGCACCCGACCATATCTTTCAGGACCCAAAACATCATTAATAGCTTGGTTTTCAATGTCATCCTCATTAATAATACCTTGACTCGAAGCCGAAGCTTGATACTACACCATTTTCTCCCTCAATTTTTCCTAATAATAAAGTAAATAATTAATTCAAATAAAAATGTCATGATACATATATAAATAAAACATAATTCAAAACCTCTATCCAATAAACGCACCATAATTTATGTAGCTTTAGCATTCATAGGAGTGTTACCCTTCTTTGTATGTGTCATGTCGAAGAGTTTGATTCGGCCAGCTTTAGAACCAGATGTATTTTCCTACAATATAGCATAATATAATTAGTTTTAGTTAGTATGTACATGGAATACAAATAACTATGTGAATAATCTATAATACCTCCTCATTAGCTATACAAGCAAATCTCTTCGATCCAGCCGTGTGCGTAAACTTTTGTTGTTGCCTGCTAGCAACGCCAACATGCTCTCAGTCCTACAATTTCAAGCAACCACTTTTAATGATGATTTATAATTCGTTAAAAATATTTTTGAAAAATACACCATACCTGTCCTTTTTATGAACTCCAAAATCTGACTGCATCTTCCCATTGGTACCTGAGCATTCCAGGTGGGACAGTTTGTAGCTTCTCTTCAAGGCTGAGATCATTCTTGAAGTATTTCTTTTTTAATGAGATCTTGTGGTCTCTCCATCTCTTCCCTAACGCTTGCTTCACATAATCGTCAGAGACCTCTAAAGAAAAGTTTTCCTATACAGCAAATAAGTGTTCACCGTAAGTATAAATTAGTATTGAATTGTTATAGAGTATCTATTATAATGACATTATTACCTTAACAAAATCCAACGCCTGATTTTTGTTACTATTAGGCATTTCGCGCCATGACTCATAATTGATCGGTAAAAGATTAGCATTACGTCCAACTATGCCTAAGTAATTGGATAGAAGACGTGCTTCTGGGCCAATAGGTTGACCGTCATTGTTTCTTGAAACTTTGATAGGATGCCTAGGAGGAAGTT